TTCCCCCCCCCCCCCCCCCCCCCCATTCAGAATTTTTCATCGGATATTAACGAATCCGGCTAAAACTACACTCTGAAGAACATTGGAAGGTGCAAGTGGTAGGAACGTGTTAAACTAGCTCACGATTTTTCCAACACAATTCATTTGTTATATAGTGGATGGTTCCAACTATTACCAACTCTTTCAAACCGTTACAAGTAAGTTCTGCTCAATTGCTGTTATATTATCAGGAATTAGACGTCAAGCTGAAATATTCAATATCTCCAATATTCAATATTCAATAAGCCAACTCTGGGCTCCACAAAAGGTCAACCCCATTCAAGAGATGGAGAAAGTGCAGAGACGGGCGACTAAGTTCATTTTAAATCTTAATCATCTTTCAGAAATGCCTTACCGAGAAAGACTATTGTCTTTGGATATTTTACCTGTATCCTACTGGCTAGAACTGCAGGATCTGCTTTTCTTATTTAAAGTCATTAATGGTTTGGTAATCTTACCTATTAGGCGTCTGTCCTGCATTTTACGTTGCAGCAAGATGTACACGCAGCAGTACAGGGAAACGAAGACAGTTAGTTGTAAGGAAATGTAGAACTACCACTTTCCAAAATAGTTACTTTGTTAGAGTAGCCAAATTGTGGAATATTCTACCACTCGAACTAACATTAGAAGAAGAGACATTCCAAGGTTTTAAAAGTAAACTGAACAAGTATTATAGGGACGCCCTAAGAACTGTTTATAACATTGATGACTGCAGAACTTGGAAGTCAATATGTATAAAGTGTAGAACTGCACGCTTGTTGCACAACAAGATTCATTGTTGTTTTTAACATTTTTACATCTCTAACACTTTAATAATATAATAGATATGTGTATGTGATAGTTTGTAACTTGTATCAGTATGTATTGTAACTTCTATTTTAGTTGGGGGTACAGTAATTGGGGTAACCTGTTGTACCTTTCCCATTTTTATCTCTATAAAGGTTTAATAAAGTGATTTAAACATTAAACATTAAACATCTCCTTTTTATGACGGTGGAATGACACAGTAGTAACTTTCTTACAGGAAATGGACTATCCACGTATGGTTGAAAGAATAATGAAATTGGCTGTAAGTATATAAAGGCCCATTTGAAAATTTTCCACGGGCAGAACATTTTCCAAAACTATCATTGTTAAAAGTTGAAAATTTTCAACTTCAAATTTTTTATTTTGGGTTAGCCAAAAAATTGTTTGGCATTTTTCTATATTCCTCTATTATAGTGTGTTATATTGCTGAACTTGTATACTCGATATATTTACAGGTTCCTAACCACCTGATGTGGTTGCTGTTCTTTTATTGTTTCTTTCATTCGTTTCTCAACATTATGGCGGAGATATTGAAATTTGGGGATAGGACATTTTATAAGGATTGGTGGTGAGTTAGGATGAATGTCTAAACTGGCACTAAACACGAAGAAATTTGCAATTATATACAGAGTGTTCCCCCAACAATGCACCACGCATGCAGTATAACTGTGTTCCAGATTTTTACACAGCTAATTTGAAATTTGGGGATGGGACTTTAGCTCTTGAAGAAAATGATTTCTAAATATGTTTAAATAGAAAAAAATCTCAAAGTAGAAATTTTGCATATAGGTAAATTCTAAGTTTTGCAGGATTGGTAAGAAATGTTTGAAGAAACTGACTTAGTGTTAAACACCGAATCAGTTCCCTTTGAGCATTTAGTTTTACAAATCCTTCAAAACCTAGAGTTTACCGATGCAAAATTCCTACTGCGATCACAGAAACTTTGATAGTGTAAACCAACCTTAAGACATGAATTTGGACACTAAGATTATTAAAATTGGTCTAGTAGGACCAAAGGCTGTTTCACCCAATGTACCATTGAAATCACGCATCAGTTGTGGTAAGAGTAACTATTTACAAATATTATAAAATATTATAAATATTTACGAATGCAAAATGTTTTGTGGTAGTATGACACACTGTCAGTATCGAGTAATACAAGAAATAAAAATGAAGTTATTTCTACGAGTACTCTATTTACAGTATATAATTGAAGAAGTTTGGAAGTATCAATAGTATTGATGATCCCTACCAGACCAATTTAAATAATCGTATAGTGTCAAAATTCATCTCTTGGACTGAATTTTCAATGGCCACTAATGATTGCCCCGTTTTTCTGTAGGAATTCCACCACAATTCAACAGTTTTGGAAAACCTGGAATATTCCTGTTCATCGCTGGGCACAACGGTATGATGAGCTTACAAGAATTGGTCGAGGTTTTGAGTTTGAAAGGAAAACATTGATTGAATGGGGCCCCAGCCAAAATTAATTTTCGTGAATGTGAAAACATAGAAAAAGAAACATCGTTACTAACTTCCGGACAAGGGCCTTCGCTCGAAACGTCAAAGTTCTCCTTGTATTTTTCAGGCATAGTTGCATCCCTATCGATCCGAAGCTTTCTTAACTAAAATCACTCCATCTCTAGTTGTCATCCTCTGTTAAGTTGCCACCCAAAAATGGTGGACAAGGCGTGGTCGCATGGCGTAAGAAAGGCTAATATAGACCTTTGTAGTCACAAAAATTTCACATGATTTCCAATTGCATATGTGAAATTAATTTTCACATATATAAACTTTAATATCACATGTGAAAACAATATGTGTAACATAAGTATTTTCACATGTGAAATATTCAAATTTCACATGTGAAATTATGTGTGAATTTTCCGTAACGTTGCTACAAATTCCTTGGTTCCTGTTGTTCTTGAAAAAAGCCGAAGAAGGGATGGTGAGATGGCTCCATCCCTTGCTGAAGGCTTAGAATCAAGAGATGCCTTGCGAATATGTTAAGAAAAGCCTTGTTGAAACACTCTCTATTAATAAAATACATGCATTTTAATAATTTTCAAAATGCAAGTATTATGTATGTTGTATTTTTAGGCATCTTTACTTTCCATTGAGAAGACGAGGTTACTCTCAGATTACTGCAAGCGTTTTAGTCTTTTTACTGTCAGCGTTTTTCCATGAGGTAGAGTATGTTGCAATTACGCTAAAATATTCAGCCCTTGCAAGTGACGTCACCTCATTTCGCATGTGACGTCATATTTACAAAATGGTAGCACACAATTGATCTAACCCGCCAAAGCTAGCCGAATAAAGGTTCTACAATCCTGGCCAAAAACTTTGTGGACAGTACAAAATTGTAGCAAATTATATAATACATTTAGATATATTGCATAATATCTGTCAAACCCCCACACCCCCATCTCAATGTTGCAGTCCAATATGATATATACAGAGTTGCCGATGCGAAAACGATTTCAACATTGTTTTGGGGGAGTGGGGGGCGTAAGTTATAGCATTAAATCCATCCTAAACGCATATGAGCCTACCTGCATGTCCACATGATTTTGGCCAGGATTGTAGGTCTAGGCTGATTCGACGTAATTTGATTTCCACCATTTTGGGTGGCAAATCAAATTTGTCTATTCACGTCAAAATTTCTCAGGTTTATTTCGGTAGAGCGCTAGTTGATCGCTTTTATTTGATGTGGCTTAATACGAATTCCGAGAGGTAATATTCTAGAAAATTCAGACAGTTTCCTTTGCTGTCCATACTATAGTGCCCACCATTATTTTTGCTCCACAAAAGTGCGTGGTTTCTTAGCGCAAGATATATAAACTGAGGGGAGGCCCCCTCAGCCCCCATATTGGGCCCTCCAGTAAAGCGAAAAGGGCCAAGAAGAGCGGTTTTTAAAATATTCCCATGACCAAACCTTTGTCTAGCAGATGAAAAAAGTTAATTTTCTAAAAATGTTAATTCATACTATTTTTTGTGTTTTAGTTTTTGGTCAGTATTCCGTTACAGATGTTCAGAACCTGGGCATTTTTCGGAATAGTTGGTCAGGTAATTAATAATAAAATCCTCTCAAAATAATATAATACAGTAGTATACTTTGTGGGACACAGAAGTTTCTAAGTAAACAAAACCTGTTGTTTCACTGCTATAAAATCACGAGTTTTACTCACATTTATTAGCAAACCTACTGATTACAATTTTTGGAGTAAAGTTTTAAATTTACTCAATTTTTTGAGTCAAGACTTTCTTTACTTAAAAAATAAGTAAATTTGCTCATAATGTAATTTTACTCAATATTCCAAGTCACTGAGGGTGCATCATTTTACTCAAGTTTTTTTGAGTCAAAATACTCAGGTTGGTTTAAGATTTCTGCACGCGATTTTGTAGATACCATTGGCAATATTTACTGGCCTTCTCCCGAAGAACACGGTGTATGGAAATTTCGTGGTGTGGTTATCACTGATCATGGGTCAACCTATTGCATTCATGATGTACGGTCATGATTATTACGTCATGAATACGTCATCCTGAGGTATGGAAGTTAATAATAATTGATGTCGTTTATACAAGGTGTGGTTACCTATGATACAAGTTCTCGACAAATTGCGGTTAATTTATTTAACCAAGCTGTATGGTTCAATTAACCAGATTATTCAATAGGTGGATTATTAACCAGAAATTCCTGGTTAATAGATCACACGACATAATTATAATCTGGTTAATTCAACCATATAGTCTGGTTAAATTAGCCT